ATGTTGCCAAGGCAAGAGGAAGAGAAAGCAGCAGAGGATAAGGGAGTTCTGGGCAAGGAAAAGATGATGGGGGCACTCCAGGAAGGGTTCTAAAAGAAGACCAGGATGATAGGGGAGCAGGGGGGTTATGTCTACTAAATTCTCAAAACTTTGAAGCCATCTTCCACTCCTATTATTTTCCTCTTTCCCACACAGTAGTTAGAAAACAGGTAAGGCCTTTTATAAGAGACAATTTTGATGTAACGTTTGTTTAAGAACAACGCCAGGCATAATCAATGAGAAACACAATGCCAATGCCTGTAGTGGTAACATGGGTGACCTCAACCATGAAGAAACACTCGGAACACATACTGCTAACATCCCTTGTGACCTGAGTTACGTACCCATTTGCACAAAAATTCCAGGCAGCTTCAACAACTACTTCACAACATTTGTGTATTTATCTACTCCCAACATTTGTGGAAATTGTTCAACCTACCTTTAAAAAGTAAAACTCTTGCCCTTTAAAAATGTGTCATTAAGTTTCTCAGTGTTATGCTATTAACCTCACTTATGCATAAACTGATTTTTATTGCACAATTTCACATAGTACAGTGATTTTTAGGGATGTGTATGTCACACTACACCACAACTGACAAGGTCTTAAGCACCACTTTAGAAAAGAGTAATTTAAAGGGACACCAATATCTGAATTTCAGTCTCAGGAGCACTCACTTTCTCTATGGGGTAGACAGCGATTACAGAGGTGTCAGCTTGTATAGCTGTGTGACAAATACCTGTAAGCCAGTACAGTGAACAACAGGACCAACAGCAGAGATGCTCGTGCCTTCAGAAGCCTAGCAGAAGGCAACCAGGTACTTGAAATTCTAAGTCTGTCGTCGCATTTCCTAACAGCCTCATTCCCCACACAGCTGCTACAATGGGTGTAGCATTCTTCACAATGGCGGTGAGAGAGAGGGATTATAAAGTACACTGCTGATAGCCATGTTGGTAAGAAGAAAAAAAAAAGATTAAAACTTTATCAAATGTATGTGGGATTGTTAGATCTTTCCGGAAACATCAAGGTTTCATATTTGTAATTCAGAAAAATTAGCTGTCATTGCAAACCAGAAACTCAGTTATAATTCTTTTTCTCCCACTGTTTTTACAACAAGCCTTTAAATAAAGGGGTGATTTTTTGGGAAAGCACTCATGCTTTATAAAAGAGACAGACTCATTAGTATTAATGCTAGAAAGCCTTTAAATTCCTCCTTTGCAATCTTTTTTTTTTTTTTTTTGTATCAATGAATTAAAACTCTTTTCCCTTACTGAGTAAATCAGACTCTCCAGGGCCATGGCAGAGTGTCTGACACAGACAACTTAAGGAGGTAGGACGTATTTTGCTTTCAGTACTCCAGGCCGTCATGCAGGGAGTGGTAGGGCAGCTCACCTCATGGAAGTCTAGAAAGGAAAGGGAAGCCTGTGCTTGTAAACCACCCACAACTCTCCACTTTTATTCTGTCAGATTCCTGGTCCAGGAGGTTGTCTCCCCTTAGTCCATCTTTTCTAGAAACACCTCACAGACATAACTGGGGATGTGAATCACTGATCTCCCAGTCCTTCTATGTCAAGAACTAACCATCTCGTTTCCTGCATAATTTTATACATACATGCGTTTTAATTTTAGTTTCTGGAGACAGGGTCTTACTGCATAGCACTGTCTGGCCTACAAGCTTACTGGGTAGAACAGGCTGGCCTTAAACTCCAGATATCTACCTGCCTCTGCCTCCTGAGTTTGGGGATTAAAGGTGTATGCCACCATGCCTAGCCCAATGGCTTATATTTTTCAAAGTTTTCCCCCTAATTTGACTCTCACAAACCTGGGGGCCATGTCTAACAAGCAGACCTATACTGTGGAAGGCTTTGAGCTACTATCAGGAAGATGCGAGTTGATTTAGAGGTTACAAGTTGAGTCCTACCCTAGAGACAGAAACTTGGTTTAAAAAAAAAAAAGTCAGGCCGGGCAGTGGTGGCGCAAGCCTTTAATCCCAGGAGGCAGAGGCAGGCGGATCTCTGTGAGTTTGAGGCCAGCCTGGTCTAGAAGAGCTAGTTCCAGGACAGGAACCAAAAAAAAAAAAAAAAAAAAGCTACAGAGAAACCCTGTCTCGAAGAACCAGTGCTATAACTCATCTGGAGTTTGCACCAATGTTCTTAAGAAAACTGTCTTGTCAAGTAGCCCAAACAACTACCAATAATCAGTTATTACCATGAGTCTTAGTCATAAGAACCTTCATTTCTCATAAGGTAACCAAAGTCATCATACCACCTACTATTAATGCTCTGGCTTAATTCTTTAGTATGTTAGTGCCAAAAGTTAGTTATAATCTAAGTACCATGTGTTAAGGCTATTGTATAAAATTGGCCATATCACTTGTTTATAACTAAAGGCTTTAGTTATACCTTTCCCACACATTCCTAAACTGTATAAAGTCTAATTTTTAACACACTAACAGAAACGTGCTTTAAAAACTCATTTACAGCTTATCTGTTCAGTATAAATGCCATCATCTAGATCTTGATTGAGTTCTACTTCATAGACTATGAATATAGAATTACCTATATTCTTCTGTATAAAATAAAATTATTTTCTTATATTTGTAAGTAAATGAATGCCCATGATGGTCAGAGGACAGCCATCAATATCATTCTTCAAAAATCATCTACCACTATTTTGAGAAACAGTCTGTCATTGCCCTGGATCTTGTCTAGTACAATAGGTTGGTTGATCAGTAAGCCCTGAGGATCCTCCTGTCTCTCTGCCTTTCCAGTGTTGGTATAATAACAACACCACCATGCCTGGATTTTTCAGTGGTTTTTGGAGACTGAACTCAGGTATTTTGAAGGTACTTTATCAAAAGACCAGCCCAAGAAAAATCGTTCTTGACTTCGCTTCTGCATGGAAGTCTGGCCTTTCTTTAATTCATAAACATGAGGACACTGGTGAACGGCGTCTGCTTGGGTGACTATTTGTAAGCACTTCTACCAGCTAGTTAGTTTGGGCTGACAGATCAATTGCTGTTACTTGTTTCATTCCCAGAAATTCCTGGAAGATGCAAATAAGCTGAGCACTTTTTGTGAACTATGTTAGGTATCACAGACACTGACTGCCCACACTCAGTAGGAGGCCCAACAGTGAATATTAAAGATTAATGGGATTTTCAGAAGTCTGTTCAACTATACAATATTTCCTTTAGGAATGTAACACTGAAGTTATAACAATGTAATAGAAGTATGCGCAATGTAAAATTGTCAGCTGATTAGTTCCCCAGAACTAAATAATGTATAAAAGACAAAAATCCATATATCTTTTTGTTTGATGTTGAATTTTACCTAGTATTTTAAATATATTAAATATAGTTCATCATGACAACGGTGATTTCCATGGCCATCTCTTTCCTTTTGTACAGAAGGTTTTCTATGTAGACACAGCTTATCAATAGAAACCAGAGTCACTTCCGTAGATGTGGTACACACATTGACCTTCAGATGCTGGGTGGAGAACGTATCTCCCAAGCACACTCTATGAAAACAAACCTAATGATTAGAAGACCAGAGTGGGTCTCTGACAGCGGTCTACCAAGGAACAAGTGGGGCTACCACACAGATGGAACTAAACTACTAAATTTACCATTGAGTTATCAAACTCATGGAGCTGAGAATTTCAAACATAAAAACAGGTATGTAATAATAAAACTGATCTAAGTAAATTTCTAAACCAATTCTAGTTGCTGAGCACTTTACTGTCTTGGGGCCAGGGTGAGTCCCAAACAAATTCAGACGTCACATTAGATCACGCTAGTCTCTTTCTAATTCTAGAATCATGATTCCATTTATGCTAACGTGTCTTTGAAGACATACATGGAGGGATTGGAGAGATGGCTAAGGGGGGACAGTGCTTGCTATCCTTGCAGAGGACTTAGGCTCAGTTCCCAGAACCCACACATAGCTGCTCAAAACCATCTGTAATTCCAGTTCTAGAGGATCTGATGCCCTCTTCTGGCCTTTTGGCACCAGGCACACATGTGTCGTACATACATACATGTAAGCAAAACACTCACACACAAACAATAAAATAAATTTAAAAAGCCTGCATCTAAAGAACAAAGATGTCTTTCAACAATAGAAAAACACAGTATTTGCTTTAGATTTATTTTAAAAACACCTACATCTATGGAATACTATTACTTAAAATGTAGGCTATTCATGCATTTCCCTATGTCTTCTTTCATTATTATCATGGGAACACTAATTAAGAAAAACAGCTAATGAAATAGCTGCATCATGAGCCACAAATGAAGCTCTCATTACCTTAGTCAGAGCACCCTCTACCTTCTTTCCTACCTCAACATACTATTTCTTGCAAGCCGAACAAAACAAAACAATGTGCTTCTGTAGAGCGTTGAGCTAGACAGCAAATACCTTTGCAGCTGGAGGAAAAAAAGCAAGTCTTATCTCTTTTTTCCCCCCTAACTCTTTGGTGTCAAAGTTAAAAGTTGTAACATTATTAATACATGTCTGACTTCCTTCAGGCGCGAATCATCTGCAAAAGTACAGTTGTCTTATTTTACGTTCTTTTATTATTCAGTTAGAAAACTTGTTGCTCATTATGCAAATCTCAAGGGGGGGGGGTAGTGGAGGAAACAAAGCTCGACAAACACAACAAAATCAAGTTGCTGTGCCCTGTTGAGGATGCCAGGCTTTTTGTCGCTCTACTTGAAAGTAATGTGACTTGTCTGTGAAGAGTGCAGCTTCAGCAGTTCCAAATGAATCACAAGCCTGTGCTCCATATTTTCTCTTTTGTAAGTTTAATGTATTCAAGCAACACTGAACTGACAATTTAAATAACTACATTTTTAAACAAACGAAGCATTGATGTTAATGTATGAAAATGGTCCAAACCCCTGGGAGTCTTGGTTCCCACCATTGTTTATTCTGACAACAGGATATAATTGCTTACTTACTTGGCAGCAAATTTAACCATCTGCTTGCTTGCGTGCTCTCCCACTGCCACAAGAGCCTGGACATTAAACTGCTGCTGCCTCAGGACTAAGAAGCATTGCTTCCCTGCAGGAGACACAAAGAATATGGGACATTAGGAACATATTATTTCAGGTTTTACAAAGGAAAAAGCTTCTCTACTTTAAAATTAGGTAAAAATTTAAATACTCATCAGGTATATGCATGTGTTATTTATCAGCTTCCACAGCCAAAATACCCACAGTTAACTGACAAGCTGCAACAGCAGTTCCTATGAATAATAAAAAATGCATCTGACAGGTTTCTTATGAGAACATAGGTAAATTACCAATGTACAGAGAGAGATAGATTATTCTGTAACATTGAACAATTACAAGTTGTTTCAGATGACTTTCACCATTCAACAAATAGCTCCTATGTCCTACTGGCAAAGACCCTGAGCTAACTACCATGGGAGCTTCAATCATGCAATCACAAATGCTAATAAAGTGTTTACGAGTCAGAATACAAGTGCTCTTTGGGGGTGGTCCATCCACAGAGTTCTTCCTACCAAAGCACATAGATTAACAGGCGAGGTCCTTTCACATTCCATTTTCCAGTTCTGTCCTCTGTGATAGTCACACATTTAAAAAAAAATTTTTTTCTTTTCTTTGTTTTGTTTTTTTTTGTTTTGTTTTTTCGAGACAGGGTTTCTCTGAAGCCCTGCTTTGAAGCCTGTCCTGGAACTAGCTCTGTAGACCAGGCTGGTCTCGAACTCACAGAGATCCACCTGCCTCTGCCTCCCGAGTGCTGGGATTAAAGGCGCGTGCCACCACCGCCCGGCTACATTTAAAAAATTTAAGCTATTTTACTTTTTAAAATAAAACGCCATTTTTAAAAGTCCTATAACCAGTTTTATTTTTACATCTTGTGGGTCTCTTGCTTCCTGTTCTTTTAAAGAGAGCTATTATTTCTTAACCTGAAAAATATTACTTCTACATCCTTGTGCCATACATCCCTTTCCCTCCAAAGCAGATCATTTTAAGTCTCTGATCAAATTCTAGAAAACCATTTCCTCATAAAAATGAATTAATCTTTCCAAGACCACTTTTCTCATCAGACTGTCTTATGAAACATCACAAGCCTATGGTTTTCATTATTTTATTATCTTAAGTGTTAGCTTGCCAAAAAAACAAAGAAAAGGAAGCAGATAGCTACTATTTTCAACACACAGAATTTTAAAACGTGTACCAGAGTACAATCACAAATTTTACAGGTTAGTCAGGCATGGTGGTACACATCTTTGATCCTAGCACCTTGGAGGCAGAGGCAGGTGGATCTCTGTAAATTTGAGGCCAACCTGGTCAACATAACTACAAAAGAAAAATAAATAAAAAATTTAAAAATTAAAAAAAAGACAGGTTGAAGGAAAAGTCAAAAGAGCTATAATCTATTGGCTCTGTAGTCACATAATCAACAGATTTTTAATCACAAAAAAGATATCACTTTCCTGTTTTACAGTATGATTTAGATACATGTTAAAACTAAACAAATTCAAAGGCATTTTAAGGTATTGAATAAAAATTACTCCTGAAACTTGCACACCATCAAAACAACATTATCTAAGTATAATACTACAGAACCCATAGCTGGATTTTGTCCCACTAGAACACAATGCAGCAAGAAATGGAAGGTGGTGTGCTTATATAACCCAGGGCAGGCTGAGAGGAAATAGCATTTTAGCTGCTGAAGTGGTTCAGACAGAAGCAGCTCAGTCCTCCCTGCATTACAAAGTTACCCAGCAATAAAATAGAGAGCCCTAAAACAGCACAAAGACCCTTAATAAATGGAGTTCTGAGGGGCGTACAAAGGGTCAGCACTAAGGATTAACAGTCTACCTAATGATTTGGTTGAATAAAGATTTCAAAACCTGTTGTTTCATTTGTTTGTGTGGATGGATTTTTCAAGATAGGGTTTCTCTGTGCATCCCTGGCTGTCCTGGAACTCGCTCTCTTGACCAGGGATGAGTCTGGGATTAAAGGTGTGGGTCAGTACCACCCGGGAAAATTTTGAAATCTGAAGGCCAGGGACCATATCCTATCACTTCTACAAAGTGATTAAACTATTAAACGACTGTAGGTCTCTGTTCTTCATCTGCAAAATGGAGACTAGCACACTTCTTGAAAGTTCAGTTTTCTTTTATAATTTGAGGAATACATACTTAAAGTCAAGGCAGAGTCCCTTAACATTAACCACTTTTTTTTTTTTTTTTTTTTTACCATTAACAGCATTTCTAATATTGGTATCTTATTTGAGGACTGCATCATTCCCATTTTGCAGATGGATAACCATGTATAACTTATACTGGATGCTGAGAATATGAAGATAAATATTCAGAAGACATTTTCATGAAAAGTGATCACAAAAAAAAAAAAAAACAAAACAAAA